CCACTGATAAACCTTACAAACTTTGATAATTTCTGAGGTGTGTCAAGGCCCTTAATATACCGTTTGAGAAACTCAAGGCTATCCCTTTCCCCACCACTCTCAGGGTTTGCCTCTAGGCAACTAAGGATTTTGCTTGTGGATGGTATTAACAATTCATACCTTTTGGAAATTGCTGCAAAATCAGGAAAACTAGGAAGGAGTGTGGAAACTATATCCTTCCAGCAGTCTGCAATATACTGTGGCTTCTGCGGCAGCTCCTTATGGGCTATTTCTTTAATAACTTGAATAATATTCTCAGAATTTACCATAACTCAACAGTCATAGTTACTAAAAACTTCTAAAAGCTGGGACAATTCATCTTCATCATCCCACTTCATATCACCAGCAAGGCACTTGTCAATCAAACATTTTTCATCAACTGAAATGTAATTTCTAAAGGATTGAGTCAGCATAGCACTAGTTACAGCAGATTCCCCCCAAAAAAGGCAGGCAAGGAACGTTTGAGACAGAAGGACTAGTAGGTATTGACAGGTTAAATATCCTTTCAACAAAATTCTTCCAACAGCAACCCATTCATCCCTTTGATAATCATGTCTTACAAATGGTACACGCTCATTTTCTCCAACAAAAAGGGAATCATATGTTTCTTTCCAAAAAAGGGAGAAAACATCTCTGAGCAACTCAACATCTCTGCCCACTTCTTCAACTCCCCTAGCATCAATAACAATTATCTCTATGTCCTGACTCATAATTAATGGATCTCGGAATAAGTCAATCAAATCCTTCTTAATATTTAGCCTGTGCACTTGGATGATACGTTTTGGTAGCAGTTGAGGTACAGGTACTGATACAGACACACGTACATGCTCAGATGGTACGTGAACGATATCAGAGTTACTGCCTGTCTCTACATCATTTAACTCATTACATCATTTAACTCATTACATCATTATTTTGATGTGATGTTTCTGCTTCAGTTGGAAATGGTACACAATAAGGTTGTGCAGCATCCTGGCAGGGGTGGGACACCACAACTGCATCTGGCCTCCCTTCACTCTCCCCAAATGAAAGCAACAGAGCTTCTTTGTGCTCCACTAACACTAAAAGGAAATATCAACTTGTCACAAACCATAAAAAAGGGAACTAATTGACAATGATGTAACAGACTATGAAGGTTCATCTTTAAACAAATATCCACAATCACATGGAGTAAATAAACCACATTAATTTATGTCCTGTCCTGCTAAACAATTGAATAAAGATCTGAGCAAACAAAGAAATAAATAAATAACCAATAAGATAAATAAATACACAAATCTGTTTGGAGACAAACTAGATAATATTTCCAACAAAAAGCCATTGTCATGCCTAGTAGCATGAGCTGGGATGCCAGTATATCATATATAAGATGATTCTACTTCATCGGGAAGCTACCTTTGCAGTGAGGCAAAAAAGCTAAAAGAAATCTATACAGGTTTTATGTTGTTCAATGCAAAAATTCACAAGAAAAAGTTTACCGTGGACTGTTATCTAATGCTGAATTCTCTAGCTCCTCTTCAGTTTCACCCTCATCTTCAGATTCCAAAGGCACCAGTGATCTAACATAAACAGCTCCTTGACCAGCCATCCTGGTCACTCTCTCTGCATCCAGAGTTATGCCTTCTGCCAGCTTAGGAGTTATTAGCTTTCCATAGCATGGCTAGGTTAAGAAAAACACACATTACTTGCACGCTTCTTGCAAAAGTCAAGGGCAAATCTAACGAAAGAGTAGTTAAGTTAAACTTATAACACAAGGAAGGAGAAAGGGGTGGGAGCGGGACAGTACCAGAGGAAATCTAAAATAACCCAACAAATTCTGCCAAAAATTCGAAGTCCATTACTCGAGTTACTGCAGTGATCCTCTTATGTGGTTAAATTTTTGGCAAAATAGTATAAATGCGTATTTAAAAATAGTGCAGCCACAACAAATGTACAAACTGAACAGCAATGATATTATTAATGCACTAAACATAGAACAATGTTTAAACTTATATCACAACGCAAAGTTACCCACCTTGACATATTCAAATAGCAAAAGCTTTGGACATCGATTCAATATAGCAGCTTTGAGGGAATGTGCATCCCAGCTCTTGTCAAAGGGAAACTCGTGGCAGACAAGTTCTCTCTCTTCTAACTGAAGTCGGGTTGTATGTGTAGGAACTTTGTTGATCTTGGGACTGGGAATAAGGACTAGATCCTTGTAAACAAGTGTCTTGGGTGGGCGGCCTTTGGTCGAATTAATGGTCTGCTTTGACCTTGCTGGTCTTCTACTAGTGCTTTTCCCACTAGCTTGGTTCGAACCAATTGTCGGAAAGAGAGTGGCAAGCCGAGCTTGAATAGAACTGTTAGAGGCTGGCGACGTCGAGGACTGAATGGCAAGTTCGTTCTACTGAAGTCCCTCGTTGTTTACCTTACGATCCCCGTTGTTCGGCTGACTGACAGAGACTGCCATTGAATTCATCCGAGGTATTACATTTCTCGTAAAACCAGGTCTCAAATTACTTAAAATCTCTCAAGCATCCGCAGCCGCACGACAAGCAGTCGATAGCTCTTCCTCCATATAGCCGAACGCTAAAATGGAATGGAATGGGAAAAAAAAAAGTGTAGCGTGGTCATGTGATCACGTGTTGCATACTAATTAGAAAGAAAATAAAAAATCCCACTCGGAACGAAAAAAACCTATGGAATGAATATAAAAAATATAGAACGCATATAAGATAAAGAGAAAAAATAGAAAATAGATGAGTTAAACACATATCTAAATTGAAAGGAAGGGATTTAAAAAATATAGAAGAGAAATGAAAAATAAAGTAGTGAAAAAAATATATCTACATAAAGGAAATAAAAAATATGGCAAAGGAATGTAATGGATGTATTGTATATTAAGGTTGTATGAATATTGACTGGAAAGGCCTACCATACTTCCCGATTGAACGTGGCGCGAGGAAAGTTTCGCGCCCAAGTTTTACCGTTGAAACCCCCATGTTGTCATTGGTAACAGCGCTTGTTTCCATTGGAAACATCTTGTGGTATTGACGTTATATGCATTAAGCGCGCGAACGACAGAGCGACGAACATGGAAAAAATAAATTCGAAAGGAAGGACTTTTGTCAATGGTTGTGCCCTTTTGCAAGATTTTCGAAAATTAATAGTAGATGAAATAGTTAGGAATGGTGGGGATATCAACACTGGCGACTTTCCAGGCAAATTTTCAGATGTGGCAAACGTTTTTAAAGTAAGTAGAACTACTGTGAAAAATATTTGACAGCGACTCCATATGGAGCGTACCAATGAGCCACGCCAGCACGGAGGAGGAAAAAACAGTAATTTCACTCAAGGTCACTTGCAGTTAATTGAAACTATCAAAAGAGAAAGGCCAACTTTATCACCGAGAGAAATTTACGATGGATTAACTGAATTTGGTGACATTCCAAAGGGAACTTCAAGGTCGACAATTTCACGCGCCTTCAACAATAATATGTTGTCTGGTTTAAAATATTCATGGAAAAAAATCAGCACTGTTGCCGAAGAAAGATTTACTGTGGAGAATATGGCCTACACTCAAATGTTCATAGATTATCTCCATGCCAAAGATCCTTTTAAGCTCAAATTCTTTGATGAATGTGGTTTAAAGTTACCATTTCATGGTAAGCGTTTATATGGTCATGCACCAGTTGGAGAAAGATGCATTGAACTCTTGCGCTATCACAGTTCACCTAACATAACAGTTAACCTATTAGCTGGGCTACATGGGGTAGAATATATGAACACAGTACATAGTGCATCAGATACTTTAGAATTTCTTCGCTTCTTTGGTGAAGCAGGAAGTGCAGCCAACATAGAAACTGCAAGACCCGCGCTTGAAGTAGGGGACATTGTTGTGATGGATAACTGCGCTACTCACCATTTTGCTGGCGGGGAAGCATTACAAGAATGGTTAAATGAGAAACATTGAGCTTGTCTACACACCAACTTATTCTCCGGATTTTAATCCAGCAGAGTTCGTTTTTAACAAAATGAGGAGCGTGATGCGTTATCATCTTTGGGGTCTAACAAATGAAAACATTGAAATTGCTGCTTATGAAGCTGTAGACCACATAGCATCATATGATATGGCGACTTTTTTTTAGACATACGTCCTACATTAATACTTAGCAAGAGAAAAAGTGTTTCTCTGTTTCCGCAGAGTTGTTAGCTCCATATGCTGTATAAACTATAAATATTCTGGTGAATTCTGTTTTTCAACCCTTGTCAAACACGAGCGTATGACTGATTAAAAGCCTTCTATAATGCACTAGTCAGTGGAAATAGCAGGGCATTAGACCAGGCGTCCCAACTAAATGAAGCAAATTCCCCGCTATGCGGGGCAATTTCTTATGTCAAAACCTCATTTTTGTACTCCGCCCCCGGGGCAATACTTGAAAAATCCCAAATACACAACGTTGACCAAAATTAATTTATTTCAAGAATTGTGCCTCAAATTTAACTCTTACAAAAACTTTTTCAATGTCTTCATAAAATAGATGAAACAATCATGGCTTCCTCTACTCCTCTTGGTAAGACATAGTTCTGTAAACTTTTCTCTGGACGTGTAAATGACTAAACTGGAACATGGTGATTCAAGCAACGCATCAACACAAAACAAGTTAAAGATAAACCCGAAATTGTAAATTTGGCAATAACTTCCTTTAAAATTGGCAAAAACCACTCCTAAAACAGTAATATCAATTAAAGGGCTTAGCTATACCCGAACACGAACTAAAGTAAATACTAGATTCTTTGACATAACAAGTCCCAACATGCATTTGACATACAACGACATCTAGAGTAAGCCAGATGGCGGTTGAATAATCCCAAATAATGGTAGTTTACACACTACTGTGTTTGAAAAAATGCATGATTACATGTAGAAGTGCCCAATGTGTATATTTTAGACACATCATTTGCAATGTGTTTGAATGTCCTTTTGTATGAGAATAAATTGAACAGTTTGGAGATATCACTTTTAGGACATTTTAACTGAACGAGTTGTTGGATTCACATGTATTGCTAATAAGCCAAATTTTCATTTTATATTCTACAAATGCTTATCTGTTGCTGTCTTCACAGTCGGGACATAGCCACCTGCCAGCTGGAGCAGCAGTCAGGCCCAGGCACTCAAAGTGAAACCATTCAATTGGACAGGCAACATTATCACATGCTATCATCTCCCCATATTCCCCCTCTTGACACCAACAGTACACAACATCCCTGTCTTTAGGTTTTGCAGCTCTCTTTGATTTCGCTTTGGAAGTACGAATTCCTCTTGAACACCGTCTTTTTGCTTGAGCCTTTTTAACACCCTCTGCTCGTCGTTCTTTGATGCTTTCTAGATGCTGTAACCAGAACGAAACATCATGCTCAGGAAGAAGTGTCTGCTTTGCCAATTCTGTTATCTCCAGGCTTGAAATGGTGGTTTTACTCTTCTGGGACTTCTCAAATGCTTCCTTGATGATTGCTGAAGGTGGTGTGAGCATGCAGTCTTTCATGCCAAGCTGACGAATGTGTTCAACACACTCCTTGGGTCGTAAGAAATGCCCATAGCAACCTCTTTGCATGCTCGTCTATCGCCCCTTTGTAAAGGGCGATTTCACTCTCGCCACAAGGTGCTCCATTTACTCGGTTGATGTGCACATCAATGGCTACATCCAAATTTGTCGTCAGTCTGTCTTAGTCAAGTCCTTGACCAGTTATGTTTGGGCCCGTCAACGTGGATGGTATGAACAAGTTGCTATGAGCAATGGCAAGGCAACCATTTTGCATCCCAACCTGATTGAGGTACGATCCTCCACTGTGTCTTGTTGTAACAATTGTTGCTTTCTTTCCTAGCAAAAAGTTTCTCTCTGTCCAGTAAAACTGTACTTCATGGTGAGATGGCCCCTCATCCCAGGCACCATCTACCCTGATACAATCTACAGCTTTGTCCTTCATCCATGGCTCAAGCTCATCTTTGCTTTGCAACATAACCAAATCCAAAGCATGCTGAGCAGCATTCTTTTTGTAGAGATGTTGAGCCTTCACTACACCAACACATCTCTCAGCTGTCGTACTTGTACCCAGGAACATTACTGATGTTGTTTGAATTACTGAGGCGTACTTATTAACGTAATCTGTACGAGTTGTTGTCTCAGGCTTGTCCGTCAGTGCAGTGGCCTTATGCAACTTGTGTGTATACGTAGTGTCCAATCTAAATCCGGATTGATCGTCCCTATTAAGTACCATCTTGTTTTGACCATCCCTTAGTTGAATAAAGTCCAGACCTTTATACATGGATGTACTGTAATGAGCGTCGGTGTTAAGCTTTATAGCAAATCCTTTCCTCGCTCTACGGGAAGTAACACGGGCAACACTATGGTACCTTGCTGCAGACAACTTACGCTTGTTTCTCACAGTACAAAGCTGGACTATTGTCTCCTAGCCAATTTTTGCATTATACTTGTCATTGACGTACTTCTGGATTCTCCGGTAAGTTACTTTTGGCCCTTTCTTTTGGTTGCCATCAAAGGTGAATACACCAGTCCGCCGCCATTGATCAGCCCCAACTCTATGCTCCTCCACAAAATCTTCAATATCCTTTCCAATAGTTGGAAACTTTACCAATGTTTTACACACTTTCGCCGGTACTTTTCTCCTTAGGATATGCCTGTCAGTTATCTCCTTAGCCAGTTGCCTTCTCTTTTTTCTTTGAAAAATTTTTCGTTGTTTTATCACAAGTTCCTTTCCCTTCTCACTAAGAACATCTTGCACACCAACCCAGTCATCCGGGTTGTCGCTTTCCGAACTGGTTCCAACTTCTTCCTCATCAGCTGCACCAGCATCTCTTTGCATGGCCAGAAATGCCTGTCTTGACTGCTCTACTTTTTGTTCCTCTTTATCTGTTAAATCAGTGTTTGGCAGGTTGCGAGCAAAATCAAGTAGAGCTTGATGAAGAACCTCTGGCATGTAGTTCACTAATAACAATTGCAGTTCCCCAACAAACGTAAACCAGTTTAAATTGTTCTCACGAAGAATGGAAACTAGTGTTTCAACTGATGGAATTGGACTAACAAGTGATTGGCGTTTTAAGAGTGTGTCAGGATCTGGTAGGCCAGGCACTTGCTCACATACGGCAGCTCTGCTTCTTGGCAGCGAGTCTGTTTTTCTCTGAACCTTACTTGCTTCCATAAGGCCATCGTCCTCATTTTCATCTCCAGAGGATTCTTGCATAATGCATTCGCCTTCACTTTCTTCATCGGAACATTCCGAGTCTTCAACATTAATTCGAAGTGCTTGAAGAGTTGCCTTTTCTTCCACGTTTGCAAGTGTATTTACAGCTTTTCTTAGTTCTTCTGCTTGAGAAAGAGCATCTTCTACTTCTTCATTAAGCTTGCCTAGACAGTGGATTCCATATTCCTTTCTGGCTTTTTTGTTACTAAGACCTTGTACTTTGCATGCGGCAAACCTAATAAGTTTTCTGTCTTTCTCAGAAGAAGCAAGGGAACAAATTGCTTGGAGTTGATCTCTGGTCACGCCTTTCTTGATTTGATCAGTTGGGATAACCTTAGGAAACCACGAAACAAATAACGAAAAGTCCACATATGGTTTGTTCTCAGTCACGAAAAGTTGTTGTGAGCCAGGCCCTTGAAGGGTAAGAGTAAAAACTGCCACAGGCAATTGCATTATCTGCGGACGGCCTTGTTACTAATGTACTTCGTTTCAGGGAAGTGTTTACAATAAACAGTTTTAACGTCTATTACACCATAGTGTAAAATGTCATTAGCACAATTCAAAAGTTTTCGACACTCTTGACAATTCCTATGGTTTGCCCGCAGAGAGATGTGAACTCAAGAAGTGAAACATCATTTATCAACGACCTGTACAGACCCTCGCCAACTTTGCAGGAATCTTTGTTACTCAAGTTACGTTTTACGGATGCAGCGTATCTTCTGTATGCATCAAAGTCTACAGAAGGCGCTGCAAAGTCTATAAAAAAGGATCATCTTCAGAAGACTTCTCCGACACTGCACTTTCTTCGGTGGATTTGTCAACAGTACATTCCCCTTTGTCACTTGACCAATTGCCCTCAATATTAAGACTTGTTTCTGTGTTGTGTGGATCTTCTATGGCAACTTTTTGTTTCTTTGTGTCCACACCTTCATTATTACCGTCGGTAGCACCAACAATGGCTACAGGGCCACATGCTTTTCTTTTGAGCATGACATCAATTGTTGCACCTTGACCTATTGAAGATGAACTACATTTGGCTCCAGTTTTCTTTGCCTTGTGCTCTCTCTCTTTACACTGTAAATCAGTAAGCTCATTTTGAAGTTTCCTCTTTTTTTGTCGCAATTCAGCCATTTGCTCGGTTAAGATTATTGCCTGAGAATACTGTTGAACGTTAGTTTGTCTTGATCGCTGCTTCTCGTAGAGGCTCATTTGTAAATCAACCTCTTTAAGGTCTTCCATTACCTCGTTCATGCGTTTTGTCCTAACTTCTTGAGTAATGTTCTTTGCTTTGGTAGTGTTCAATTCAACATCGGTTGTCATTAGTGCCTTTGATCTTGATTTTTTCTTTTTGTATGCATAACCATCGGCATCCACTTTTGCAATAGTAAGCTTTTGAAGATTTTTTTTATCATGAACAAGACTTGGATTTTGTTTTGTTATCTCAAAGCAAGCATCATTGATGGCCTTGTGGTAATCTTTTAGTTTATCACCAGGATCCAAAGAGTAAATAGCTGACTGCATTCTTAGTTGATTTAAATCAATTTCGGCGTTAATTATCTCTTTGGTTTGTTGCTCAGGGAACTACAATCAGGAAGAAACAGAAACATCTGTGAAAATTTTACCCATAATTGGTCTGATTATAAAGGGATAATTTGCAAAGCGCATGACAATGTGAATCACTAAATGATTCAATGATGGTGACTAGTTTCAGTCTACAATTTTTTTAGTTAACAAGCTTTACTTATAAAGACGACCCTGTTTATACTCACTTTTACCCGAGGGCCAACTGCGAGTCCTCCATCATTAAATACTAATGTGGTTTGTCCTGACCTTGGTGCATAATTGATTATGTTTTGGGCTGCAAAAAATATTGACAAAGTCATCAAACTCTTAGTTTCCCAGCCTCTATGAAAAAGGAAGGTGGCACTAAAATTGTATATGTCACTAAAATATGTAGTTGAAAATTATGTGCTGTGCACAAGATGTTTAATGAGACAGAGTCCAGTGTCATATAAAATAAAACTCAATGCATGGCATCTCTATCATGAGTAAATACAAGCACCATGAAGCGGTAAAAGTGAAGTATAGAATTCCTGTAAATGTGCTAAAAAGGTTGAGAAGAAAACTTAGCAGAGTGGTAAATGACATTTCCTTGATCAAGCATCTGCTATTGACTTGAAAGGTACTGTCACAATTTTTTGAGTATCGCTTTCAATAAATAGCTCAAAGATGTCAATGCATCAACAGGACACCAAAACAAAGGTTTAGATTTCTTGGTAAAGACTGCAGTCTGAAACTATTTACCATCGTCTCTTATTATGGATGTCAAGCCAAGGATGGAAATGGATTCAATCTTGAAAAATTGGTCACTTTTTAAAGTTCTGAATTAAAGAAAACTTGTAAATCACACAGAAACATACTGCAACAGACCACGACATCTTCTCAAAAACCTTAAAATAATTTTCTCTCATGCCTGAGGCCATTAAAACGGCTTTATCATACCATGCGAAACATCTCTGCATCCTGTCTGTTCTTCCACCTGCCAAAAAAGAAAACATCTTTTGTATAAATATTTCAATCAATGAAATGTTATGATTATTTATCTACAAGACTTATTACATTCAATATCACTGCTAAGTTTTACAGCCAAGACAGCAGCAAGTGAATAGTGAAATAATCACTTTAACAAAATAACTTACTATGGTCTATAAACTCCTTTATCCCCTTATTAAATCCCACTTGTCTTTTTACTATAAAATAACACATTGAAACATTGAAATAGACAAACTCCTAGCATCTGGCAACAAAACAAAACAGACTTTTAACCTCAAAAGTTAAAGCCACAAGGTACTGAACTTGTTACAGTATGGACAACACACAGATCTCTAAACTGGAACTGGACTCATATCAATCATGTGCAATTACCTGGATATTTGATACTTGAGTTTTGTCAGTGGACTTCTTACTGTTAGTGTTCTGCTCCAGCACAATTACATTAATTTTGTCCTTGTCACAGATATCTTCAACTTTAATGTCGATCCAGTCAGACCAAGTCTCTGAATATTTCTGTAAAACCACAGCGGCAGTGCTGCTGAGTTTGTAATAATCCTTGATTTTCATAATGACACCCTCAGTTTCACAAATGTCCACTGCCCACCTGCTGTCCTTATATTGAAATAAAACCTTTGAAAAACAAAAATTTCATTGCCACTTAAAACACAAGGTTAAAGCCTTCAATAAGCTTTAAGATCAAAATCGATTAATGACTAGCAAATATAAGCTTATATTCATATACACATGTGGCCGTACCTATATTACTAAACATTCTCACCAGATGAATGACTGAGGTCTACACAATGGAGCGCCTAAAAGCTAAAATATACTGTATCATTCCATTAAGTTACACCGTCTGCCTTTAATATAAATATACTGAACTGAGGTTTATAACTAAAAGGTGTGACGGAAAACTGAAAATCGATCCGATCCAACACAAGACTTAAAAGTAAATTGACATGCTGAGCACATTATAGAAACATATTTCAATGAAAAAACAAATACAGTTATTTAAAACAACAAATAAAAAAACGCCCATTGGCTCGGTTTGCACAGTTGCAACGGAAATGAAAACAAGTGCCAAAAGACAAAAGGTCAACGCTCTAAATAAATCGCTAATCAAGCATGACGAGGGCATAAACAATACCCAACTTTTTCTAATTTCACTACAAGACATGATAATATTTAGAGATTGAACACAGAATTTAATCGATGGCCCATTACAAGCATGAAAAGAATGGATTTTAAATCGTACATACCTTCTTGTTGGCGGCCGCCATTTTGAGATCATACGCTTTCCCAGTGTTCTTTGCAGGCCTATTCAAAAGCGAAATCCCCGCCAAAGCCCCGCTAGCCCCGCTAACGGTCCCCGGTCGCTGTTACTTGTGTCTAATGTTGTCGAACACCCCACTGACCAGTGCATAATTTCAGTGTTCGCTTTAGTTGCATGCATTGCATTTGTGTAATAATATATTGACACATTTATCTTACAACAGCAACGACAACTTTATTAAAGGGCTTAAATTACATGGATGCAGAATATATACTCAAAAACTCAACAATTTGTGCATACACTCGCACACACATACTGACGCCAGTCATTATTCCTTGCTAAATCAATAATTGCCTCAAAAAATAGGCCAAACATCTGATAAAGAAGTGGCTACTTCTTTACAGTCTTCACATAGTACATCTAACTTAAGTGTCGGCGCAAATAACGTATTGCTAAAAATAGAAACCTGTCCACGCGTGAGAAAATTTTTTTTTTGAACGGGCTTCCATTATTTCTCACAGTAAACGGTTTTCGGTGTAAATAGAACTTGAACCATTGAAACTTTTGTTACACATAAAACCACAAATATCATGCAACTTTCACAACTGGATCGAAAAGTGTAAAACAAGATCTACGATCTATTGCGTAAATGTAAACATGAAACATATGTAAACATGTCAATTGTCAATGCGTGTTCTCTGGTATGTTATTTCTTTGAAGTTGCACGAGAGCATTCACCGCTTCTTCTTCTCTCTTAGCTGATGATTCAGGCTCAGACGTAGGTGCTTTCCAGCCCTGGCCGGTACAAACATGCCACAATAGTTACTTTCTTCATTTCCTTCACGGGAGGTTGCACAATCCGCTGTTGATCCACCGCACAATGTTTGGTTGTTTAATTCGGCTTGCAGACGAACTGCCATTCTAAAATCACTTTCTTCTTCTGCTGACAGAAACGGTGTGCCGGAAAAATTAGAAGACGAACTTGCAGTTGATGGACTACGTCTAGGAAATCTAATAGCATATTCGTCCTCTAAAATGTGCTTTTGCGGGTTCACAAATCTTTCCTTGGCATGCAGTCGCTGTGATTTTAATTCATGTTCTTCAACCACTACTTTTAATAAATTCACTACACTATGTCTTGGAGGCAGTTTTCCGTTGCATTTTTTCTGAAGTAACGCAACATGTTTATTGAGAAGCGCCCAGTTTTTTACCCCATTAACAATGTGTCTATCTGGATTAGAGGCGACAATATCAGCCTCAATTTTTCTAGCAAACGAATCTCCAACTGTTTTCTAAGCGCTAAGTTTGCTGTTGTAGTCACTTTGGAAATTTGTTAATTCAGTCTCGCATTTAGTCACTTGCTGTGATAGATTTCGTCTTACAGCTTTGT